TCCCACAATATCCCAGCCTATCCTGCAATATTGTAGGCTATCCCAGCCTTTTCTAGATTATCCTGCACTATTCTTGACTATCCAAGACCCTCCTAGGCTATCCCCCACTATCTTAGGCTATACTAGCCTATCTCACATTATCCTAGCCTATCCCACACTATCTTAGGCCATTGCAGCCTATCCTAGGCAATCCCAGCCTATCTCACAATATCCCAGCCTACCCTACCATATCCTAGGCTATTCCACAATATCCTAAGATATCCCAACCTATTCCGCTATCGTAGCCTATCCCACACTATCCTAGCCATTTGCATACTATCCTAGGCTATCCCAGCCTATTCTAGTTTATCTCACACTATCCCAGAATATCCAAGCCTATCGCACACTGTCCTAGCCTATCCCACACTATGTAAATTAAAGCAAAGTTTATTTCTTTGTAAAGGTTACAATGTGTAATTACAATTTTGATTTACTAAGTACAAAGATAGCCACTATTATGCCGAGGCATTTCAGGCAAACTAATCCTAATACATAGTAACTAATTAAAACTAGATAAGATAATAGTACATAGTACTATACTTAAAGCTAGACAAGTAATAGTGGTTAGCTGTTTTACAATCTTATTCAAACTTAGTACAAGTGAGTAGGGTTCGGTAAAATAAGCTTGAAATTGCACACAAAATCTACCTTACAAGTAATGGTGCAGGCGGTAATATTTTATGGAATTGCAGAATTAAAAGCCAGGAGGTCACATGATAAGACTGATTAGCAGATGTTTTGGCAGATTTGGTTAATATTGAGAAATAAGATGATTTTATGGATTGGCAGAATTAAGAGCCTAGAGGTCACATAATAAACCTAGTTAGCAGATATTTGGTTGATTTAGTTAATATTGTGAGATAAAGTGATTTTTTAGCAAAGTTCTAAATTTATAAGCTGTCAGGGTATCTTTGACCTGTTCTGGTAGTGAGTTCCAGATCTTCGGGCCTTTTACGTGCATAGCGTTCTTGCATAGTGAGAGTCTGACTCGAGGGATGTTGAAAAATACCTTGTATTGTGCCTGTGCATTCTGTTGTAACTGTCAAGGATTAGTTTTAGAGGAGGGTTTACGGTGGAGTTTAATGTTCTATATATGTAGTAGGCACAATAATAAGAGTGTATGTCTTGTATATTTAGCAAGCTGAGGCTTTTGAAAAGTGGCGGGGTGTGCTGTCTAGCACATGAGCTGGTTATCACCTGCACAGCAGCTTTTTGTTGGATTATTAAGGGTCTAAGGTGGTTGGGCCCCAGGCACAAATACCATAGGTGAGGTAAGGACATAGAGAATGGTACAGGGTAAGGACAGTGGTACATAGTATTGTATCTTGGAAAGGATTCCTACTGATTTGGAAATTTTCTTGGCTATGTGATGGGTATGGGACTGAAATTTAAGATAACAGTCAAGGAGAAGACCTAGAAATTTGCCCTCCGTGTGTCTTGATATGGGGGAACCATTTAACAGTATGTTAAGTTAGATATTTGAGGCTCTGTTGCCAAACAGCATGAAGTATGTTTTGCCTATGTTGAGAGTGAGCTTGTTGGTCATCATCCAAGCATATATCTTTAGCAGTTCATTCATTGTTTACAGTGTTTCCAAGCACAACTGGGTCTGAATGGGAGTAGACATATGTAGTGTCATCTGCGAACAGAACTGGTTTAAGGAGTTGGGATGCATTGGGGGAGATCATTGATGTAGATGAGAAAGAGGAGTGGGCCTAGGACACTACCCTGGCGTACTACTACAGCTACAGGTTGGATAGCGGAGCTGACTCCATTTGCATGTACACACTGGTGTCTGTTGTTAAGATAGGATTCTAGGTAGTCAAGAGAATGTCCTCTGATGCCATAATGATTCAGTTGGAGGTGCAAGAGATTGTAGTCGACTGTGTCAAACGCTTTTCGTAGGTCGATAAAGAGCCCAAGAGGATGTTAATTTTTATTGAGAGCTGTGTATATTAGTTCAAGCATTTGTATAATAGCGTCATTCGTACTTTATTTTGGTCTAAACCCAAACTGGCATGGGTTAAGTATGTTGTTGGATGTAAGGTAGGAGTAAAGTCGCTTGTGTACTACAGTGGACCCCCGCATAACGATGGCATCACATAGCGATTAATCCGCATATCGCTTGCTTTAATTGCAAAAATTTTGCCTCACATACCGCTTAAAAACCCACTCACCGATTTTCGTCCGAGACGCGTCCAATGTGCGGCCTGAGCCACGCTCACATGTTCCGCCGGTGGCATTGTTTACCAGCCAGCCTCCGCGGTAACATCCAAGCATACAATCGGAATATTTCGTATTATTACAGTTTTTTCGGTGCTTTTTCTGGAAAATAAGTGACCATGGGCCCCAAGAAAGCTTCTAGTGCCAACCCTACAGCAATAAGGGTGAGAATTACAATAGAGATGAAGAAAAAGATCATTGATAAGTATGAAAGTGGAGTGCATGTCTCCGAGCTGGCCAGGTTGTATAATAAACCCCAATCAACCATCGCTACTATTGGTGGTACAGCTGCTGCTGCTGCTGCACTGTCAGCTGCTGCTGCTGCTGTAGCATCGTCTGCTGCTGCTGCTGTTGTAGCATCGTCTGCTGCTGCTGTAACATCGTCTGTTGCTGCTGTAGCATCGTCTGCTGCTGCTGTAGCATCGTCTGTTGCTGCTGTACCACCGTCAGCTGCTGCTGCTGCTGTAGCATCGTCTGCTGCTGCTGTAGCATCGTCTGCTGCTGCTGTAGCATCGTCTGTTGCTGCTGTACCACCGTCAGCTGCTGCTGCTGCTGTAGCATCGTCTGCTGCTGCTGTAGCATCGTCTGTTGCTGCTGTAGCATCGTCTGTTGCTGCTGTAGCATCGTCTGTTGCTGCTGTACCACCGTCAGCTGCTGCTGCTGCTGTAGCACCGTTGTTGGTGTGGCTTATTGAGAATACCAAGAAACAATTAACCCCAGAGGATTTGCCACCCAGGATAACCCAAAAAAGTCAGTGTCATCGAAGACTGTCTAACTTATTTCCATTGGGGTCCTTAATCTTGTCTCCCAGGATGCAACCCACACCAGTCGACTAACACCCAGGTGAACAGGGAAAAATGCCTGGAACTAGTGCTCATATTGGTGAATTTAAAGCCAGCAAAGGTTGGTTTGAGAGATTTAAGAATCGTAGTGGCATACACAGTGTGATAAGGCCTGTTCTGGAAGAAAATACCAAACAGGACCTACAGTACTCAGGAGGAAAAGGCACTCCCAGGACACAGTGTCTCATCAGTCATTGCTGCATCTTCAATAAAGGTAAGTGTCATTTTTTCTTCATTTAGTAGACTAGTACATGCACAATATATACTGTGCATGTACTACTCTACTATTGTGCATGTATCCTTCTCTTTGTGTGTAGGAAAATGTATATTTCATGTGGTAAAAATTTTTTTTCATACTTTTGGGTGTCTTGCACGGATTAATTTTATTTCCATTATTTCTTATGGGGAAAATTCATTCACATACCGATTATTTCGCATAACAATTACCCCTCTTGCACGGATTAAAATCGTTATGCGGGGGTCCACTGTATTTTTTCGAATATCTTGGAAAGTAAGGGCAAGTTTGATATGGGTCTGTAGTTATTCAAATCAGTTGGATCTCCTCCTTTGTGGATTGGGGTGACCCTTGCTGTCTTGAGGATAGATGGGAAGGTTGAGGATGCTATATATTTGTTAAACATTGTTGCAATAATGGGTGACAGTTCTGGTGCAGCTTTTTTTATATATGAATGGTGGCAAGTTATCTAGATCACCTGCCTTGTTCTTTAATGATGAGTGAGACTTCAGTGCGATTGGTTGGAGCTAGAAATCGAGTATTTGGATAGTTGCCAGTGAGGTACTCGCTCGGCTGGGTATTTGAACCAGGAATTTGACTTGCTAGCTTTGATCCTACAGTAGAGAAGAAGACATTAAATTTGTCAGCCGTGTCTATAGGTTGTATGTAAGGTTCATCTGGTTTAGTTAAGTTTATCTCTCATTTTCCAGACGGTTTTCGTGATCCAAAAATTTTCGAGAGGGTTTGCCAGGTAATTTTCATATCACCTTTCCTATGCTATCCTAGGCTACTCTACACTCCTAGACTATCCAAGCCTATCAGACTATCCTCAGTTGTCCAAGCCTATCCCACACTGTCCTAGGTTATCCTAACCTATCCCACACTATCCTAGCCTATGCTACACTATCCTAGCCTATCCCACACAATCGTAGGCTATTCCAGCCTATCCCACCCTATCCTAGGCTATCCTAGCCTATCATAAACTATCCTAGCCTATCCTACACTATCCTAGGCTATTGCAGCCAATCTTAGCCTATCACACACTATCCTAGGCAATTCAAGCATATCCTTGCCTATCCCACACTATCCTAGGGTATCCTAGCCTCTCCCACACTATCCTAGGGTATCCTAACCTATCCTAGGCTATCCCAGCCTATGCTACTCTATCCTAGGTTATCTTAGCCTATCCAACAATATCCTAGACTATCCAACACTTTCCTAGGCTATCCCAGTCAATCCTACACTATAAGGAAAATGAAAATTTTCCTTTTTAAATTTAGTAATTTATAGAAGAGAAGGGGTTACTAATCTCTTGCTCCCATCACCAATATTACTGCTACGCAATGGGGTCTGCCCCAAAATTAAAATGTACAGTTTAGTTTTTGGGATTTAACATACTTGAGCATGAATAATGTAGCATTTATGAAAAGATAGTTGGATTTAAGTTTTGGAGGTAGGAAGTACAGTGCCTGCACTACAATTGTAAGAATGGGTGGAGGTGTTGTGGTTTAGGGAGTCATCTGAACTGTGATATCCTTGCATATCTGGTAAGATAGCTATTGAATGAGTAATGATTGTGTTGTCTTTTCTGGGTTGTTCTACCTTGGTACAAAACTGCTGATGAAGCAAAAAAAAGTTGTGTAAAGAAATTTTGCACTAACCTAACAAGCTGTGTGTGTGCCCCCTCAACACACCAAGATGACTTCATTGTTCGAATGTCCCATGCACGGACACTAGAACCATGAGTAGCAGCAATTTGGGATCCTAGCTGATGGGGATACCAGCGACCAGTACCCAAGCTTACACTACCTCGACCTTCCACAGTAACTTCTCCTACTATCTGAAGAAGAGAAAATTAGGCTAATTATTAATATATAAATAGTATTTGGGAAAAATTGAGGTGATCTACTAAAATTATGTTCAATGTTACACTTTTCTGTAAAAATAATACAGTGTAATTAATTCAATTTAAATTTTTAATAAAGATGAGAAAAACTGTACAGGAAGCAACCACTTAAAAAAGCAGGATACTTTTATAACACATCAACCATCTCCCATCAATGTAGGGTGACCCAAAAGGAAAAGAAACCCTTTCACCGAAAGGGTTTCTTTTCATCACCGACTTGCCAAATGCGCACCAACATTACAATTAAGATGCCCCTCCAAACTGTAATATCCCCACTCTTCAGACTGCAGGCACTCTGAAGAGTGGGGATATTACAGTTTGGCTAACCAGGATATTACAGTCTGGCTAACTAGTTTCCCCGAATTCCTTCTCCACTTACCTTGCTCACACTCCAACAGCACGTCAAGTCATAAAAACTACTTGCTTCCACCTCTATCTAACATTCTCACACACACCTGTTGGACGTCCAAGCCCCTCACATACAAAACCTCCCTTAACCCCCTCCCTCCAGCCTTTCCTAGCACTACCCCTATCCACCTTCTATCCATCATTTTTCCCACCATATCACCTAAGATTCCTAATAAATTCAATGTTTTGTTTCATGTGTACACAATGAAATCCAATACTAGGTCACTTTCAGTCTCACAGAACAAACAGCTTGATACCAAAGTGTGTTCTCTTGGTATATACTGCTTGAGCAACCATCTACCTGGGAACATGATCTAAGACTCATTAATGACAAGGTTCTAGAAGGGATAATAATACTCACTGAACTTCTGCTTGAGATATATAAAACACCACTAGTCTTGTGTAACATGTCGCTTTTGTCAGGCCTCAACTTGTCGAGAAGTGTAACATATGTAACAGCAGGATAGGCATGAAATCACTGAACACTGGGGTACATATAAGGTGGTCAGTCGACCAGTATGATGCAATAATGTGCTTATACCTATGTGGCACAAACATGATTGTGGCAAAGAAGAAATACATCTCAGCCTCAGACTTTTTTCATATTTCAAATTCAAGTTTATTTCCACAAGATACACTGTTTATACAGAAATGGGTGACACTTGAATGCATGTAGAAAGTCCATGGTTATGCACAGCATTTCAGACAAGCCTTTCACTTGAGCAACCATGAATGTGGTAAAACCAACCTGTTTGTTACTGTATATTGGAAGTACCTATTGGTTCCTCTCACTATAATTTGCATTTGGAGTTCACTGAAAGAGAATTCAAGAATTCCAGTTCAATGGTATCATTCCCAAGGGTACAGTTAGGCTAGATTCCTCTGTGTGTACCATCTTATTGATGGGGATTGGACACGAAATATGCATCCTCCTGCCAGTCCCAGACCACATCTGGGACTGGCAGGAGGGTGTTGGATATTTCCAGCTAGTTGTGGTGGTGGTGACAGTGGTTGTGTGTGGATAGTAGATGCAGCCTGGGGTCATTGGGGTGTGGCTCCCAGCCAGGGTAGGAACTGGTGCCAACTACCTCTTTGTCCCACCAGCAAGTGCAAATTGTCACTGGCATTGCCCATGGCCCACTAATCATGCCAATGGGTGATGCATCTTCATCTTCACTATTACTGTCTATCACTGGTGTTAGGTCCTGTGATGTACTATGTATATCAAGGATAGCAACAGGGACACTACAAGACTGCATGCATTGCCGTATAAATTGATCCTTCACAAGTGAATAATTATCATCCCTATCACCAGACTGGTCAATGATTGCTAGGAAATCTTAAATCCACATTACTATCATCATTTTTTTTTTTCAACAAAACAGCTGTATCCTACTGAGGCAGGGTGACCTAGAGAGAAAAACAAAAGTTTTTCTTTTTAAATTTAGTAATTTATACAGGAGAAAGGGTCACTAGTCCCTTGCTCCTGGCATTTTAGATGCCACTTACAATACACATGGCTTATGGAGGAGGAATTTTTTTCCACTTCCCCATGGAGAACTATCATCATTACTACTGACAAAACCACGAGAGAATATGAGCTTTCACTTACAGCCTAGATGTATACTGGACACACTTGAATCCAGAGGTGAATGGCTGTAGGTTATCAGGACTTTCAGCACTATTTCTAGCATCCTTAGCATAATTTTGTCACTAAATATTTGAATCCATAAAATTCATCATCAAGTCCAGTATCTTCACTGTTGGAACTGTCATTGGGCGATAATTACAAGTTGAATTTGCCTGGGAGTGAACAATGGTATACTAAGAAGGCATTCCCATACTGTGTCATTTGAATACAGTGTAGATCAGAACCCTCATGGTAAGGTGTACCAGGCCTCTCCCACCAAATTTGTGGTTGTTAGAATTTGTGCGCAGATCTACATAGGGGATGCTGGCATCAACAATGTAAATCTAAGTGGGAGACAGTGAAAATATTAACATATAATTCACATTCCACTTTAATAAAATCTGTTTAATTTTTGTATTCATCAATGTCCATACTAATCTACAACACTTGCAATATGGATTTTCATTTACAACTATAGTGATAATGCTTCATGGATAAATCTGACATCTAGGAGTTTTTATGCCATGGTCACTGTTTCTCAGGAAAGAAGAATAACAATGAAAAAAGGTAGACATACATAAGGTACCATATTTCACAGCTTATAAGACTTGTTTTAGTTTCAATGGCTCAGCATCGGACGTAACTGGGAGAGCTACAGCCCACCCCACACCCCAAACTTATAGCTCCCATCACTGACCTTCAGTTTATAGGACGCAGGGTGGTTTTTGGAGACACTTTATGGAAAAAAATTAATCTAATAAGCCGCAAAATATAGTAGATACAAAGAGAGAGAGAAATCAACCAGCTTGTGATGACTAGAGAGGACTATAGGCCACAGGCATAAACAACCAGGTTGATTAGACAGTCATTCAGGATGTTTGGCATCAAGCTAGCCCATGAAGTAGAACTCTTGAAACTGATCACAGCTATGAAAAACTTTGCTACTAAGAAGGAATGCATTACATAAGCATGCATGCACACACCCACACATGTACACACATATATATGCACACACAGCATCTTACCTTGGCTGACTTTCCTGCAGCTTCCACATCCCAGTAGAAGAGACGGTTATCAACTAGTGTAACAAGCCGGGAATCATATTCGGGTGCCCACACCAGTGACCACACTTGTGAGCCCAGCCCAGGGACAGGTGAACCTGGTACTGCAGGTTCACCTCTACATGTTCCATCTAAACTGCATAATTTTTCAACTTGTTCACCACCAGTCCTGTTAAAAACAAAATTTCCATGTTATAAGTTTTACAAAGAGCAATCAGGTAACGGGCAAATCCTACACAGATGCAAAATTAAAAACAAAGCAGAAAACAGTGATCTTAAAAGGGTCTCTGAGTGATTGAGAATTTAATACAGTACAGAAGGACCCTGACTTATGGTGTTTGTATACCTATAATAAAGTGATATGAATTCATATTCTAATCTAGCACTATTAAGAGAAATAGAAAAAAAATATTAAATTGTTGAATGGAATAAGCAACTTAATAAAAAATTCTTAGTATTTTGCCACTTAAAATTAGATGTTAGAATCAAAACTCAGTTTCTACAAAAATCCTATGGGCTTTCAACATGCTGTTACTCATTTCTGTATAAACAATGTATCACATTGTTGAAAATGGTATAAAATACCAACAAGTTGAAGATTAAGACACATGTGCAACAGTTGGGTATCTTTATTGATGAAACATTTCACCTACACAGTAGGATTCTTCAGTCAAATACAAAGGGAGCAGTAGTAACGAAATAAAGATGACGTAATTAGTCCATCAATGTTGGAGCTGAACTCTTCTCCAGGCTGAGGGACTGACCACCTCAATACTTTTTCTCCAAGGTTGGTGGACTGATTACATCATCTATATTTCATTACTAGTGCTCCTTTTGTATTTTACTGAAGAAGCTTACTGTGTAGGTGAAATATACCCAACTGTTGCACATGTGAAAGATACCCAACTGTCGCACATGTGTCTTAATCTTCAATGTATCATACTAAAATAAACTTGTATTGTAATTGTATCTCCTACAGTAATACACAATTTTAAAAGTTGTACTGTATAGCATTAATAAAGCTCTCAGTAAATGTGTCAACAATCAATGTGTATGTTATTAATAACCACAAAAAATTAATATATTGTACAGTCTCTCACCTTGAATCATCGAGCACACCCGAGGCAGAGCCTTCAAGAGGGAGTCTCCATATTGCTGCCCCAAACTCACCACAGTAATCCTGGGCTGATGATACAACACCTATTTAGCATCAGATTCAGATGTGATTAATAAAATGCAAAACATATATATTAAACTCTTTCCCAGTATCTCATGTAGTTCTATGCCACTGACGCCAGTGTCACTCACGTAGATCTATGTTTTGAGCTCAACTCCCTCAGATAATCTTAGAGTGGGAAATTCTGGCCTAGAGTGGTAAAATTTTGCCTTCCCCATTATGCAATGCATAATGCACTTCTGACCCTGTGTCTGGATTAAAACAGCAACTTTGAGGTGTTTTCTAAGACGGTCTTTGTTTTATTAGCTATTTCATATCAGTTGATAAAATGGAAGACATACTAGTGATGATTTTGGTCGGCTTCAGGGCCAAAAATGGCTTGAAATAGGCTCAAAGTGCCAGAATATTCAATTATTGATGATTTCCCTGAAGAAGGACAGGGGTCCCCTCTGACCCACCCAGTCTATTTTATGGGTTATTACTAGGTCTAATTCAATTATTGGGACAGCCTAAACCACGACCAATCATTCTTTGATTTTTTTGTGTGAAATTAAATTCAAAGTGTTATATAGGAGAAGCATGAGAACATGATTAATGAACAGAGACAAGGATGTTTTAGTACCTGGAATACCTACAGTGTTTATTTTGGATTCCAGTTTTAAATTGGATTTTTCAATATTGCATAAATGTGGCCAAATTACCACCTTTGTGCACATTATAGGGTAATTATGATAGTTAAATGGGTGGTTTCTTGTGCTCAATCAATAGAGTGAAAGGAATAATAGCAAAATACTAGAAATGGGTCGAACTGAGCATTAGAATTGGCTTAAAACTGGACTCAAAATCAGCAAAACTGCCAACTTTACGCTTGTCTAATTCCACAAATTTTCCATCAAATTATGTTTTTTGTGTCACTACCTTCCAAAGAAAAAAAGATTCTCTACCATTTCAGAAGATAATTTTTATTTTATAGCATGACCTAACAAATAAACCATCAAGTATAAAGTGAAATCTAACTGCTGGACATCATGTCTATCAGCTATCTGGCCTAGCAGCCAACACTAAAATGAAGGGAACAAGGGACTAGTAACCCCTTCTGTATATGTTACTAAAATTAAAAAGAATAACTTTCGTTTTTCTTTTTGGGCCACCCTGCCTTGGTGGGATATGGCCGGTTTGTTGAAAGAAGAAAGAAGTATTGTAGATGAATGGTTCAGAGAACCGACATGTTGATAAATTAGACACATGTGCAACTCTTGGGTATCTTTATTGAGGAAACGTTTCGCCACACAGTGGCTTCATCAGTCAATACAAAGGAGAATCTTGAAGAACAGGAGGAGAATGAGGTAATCAGTCCCTCAACCTTGAGTCGATGTGGTCAGTCCGTCAATCTTGAATAGAATACGGCATACGTGCTGAGAAGGAGCTTATAAACCGTTGGCAGGAGAGGTGCAGCAGTCATAGGTCGTGTAACATTTGTTCAGTGTTGAAGTAGGTCGTGCCCAAGAATTAGGCAAGCGAAGAATTCCCAAGTATTAAGATCCCAAGAAGTTGCAGTGTCTGACAGTGCCAACGGTTTATAAGCTCCTTCTCAGCACGTATGCCGTATTCTATTCAAGATTGATGGACTGACCACATCGACTCAAGGTTGAGGGACTGATTACCTCATTCTCCTCCTGTTCTTCAAGATTCTCCTTTGTATTGACTGATGAAGCCACTGTGTGGCGAAACGTTTCCTCAATAAAGATACCCAAGAGTTGCACATGTGTCTAATTTATCAACATGTCGGTTCTCTGAACCATTCATCTACAATACTTCTTTCTTCTTTCAACAAACCGGCCATATCCCACCAAGGCAGGGTGGCCCAAAAAGAAAAACGAAAGTTATTCTTTTTAATTTTAGTAACATATACAAATTTTGTTGAAAATAAGAAAAAGTTTTGGAGTGAGATTAACAAGTTAAGAAAGCCTAGAGAACAAATGGATTTGTCAGTTAAAAATAGGAGAGGAGAGTTATTAAATGGAGAGTTAGAGGTATTGGGAAGATGGAAGGAATATTTTGAGGAATTGTTAAATGTTGATGAAGATAGGGAAGCTGTGATTTCGTGTATAGGGCAAGGAGGAATAACATCTTGTAGGAGTGAGGAAGAGCCAGTTGTGAGTGTGGGGGAAGTTCGTGAGGCAGTAGGTAAAATGAAAGGGGGTAAGGCAGCCGGGATTGATGGGATAAAGATAGAAATGTTAAAAGCAGGTGGGGATATAGTTTTGGAGTGGTTGGTGCAATTATTTAATAAATGTATGGAAGAGGGTAAGGTACCTAGGGATTGGCAGAGAGCATGCATAGTTCCTTTGTATAAAGGCAAAGGGGATAAAAGAGAGTGCAAAAATTATAGGGGGATAAGTCTGTTGAGTGTACCTGGTAAAGTGTATGGTAGAGTTATAATTGAAAGAATTAAGAGTAAGACGGAGAATAGGATAGCAGATGAACAAGGAGGCTTTAGGAAAGGTAGGGGGTGTGTGGACCAGGTGTTTACAGTGAAACATATAAGTGAACAGTATTTAGATAAGGCTAAAGAGGTCTTTGTGGCATTTATGGATTTGGAAAAGGCGTATGACAGGGTGGATAGGGGGGCAATGTGGCAGATGTTGCAAGTGTATGGTGTAGGAGGTAGGTTACTGAAAGCAGTGAAGAGTTTTTACGAGGATAGTGAGGCTCAAGTTAGAGTATGTAGGAAAGAGGGAAATTTTTTCCCAGTAAAAGTAGGCCTTAGACAAGGATGTGTGATGTCACCGTGGTTGTTTAATATATTTATAGATGGGGTTGTAAGAGAAGTAAATGCGAGGGTCTTGGCAAGAGGCGTGGAGTTAAAAGATAAAGAATCACACACAAAGTGGGAGTTGTCACAGCTGCTCTTTGCTGATGACACTGTGCTCTTGGGAGATTCTGAAGAGAAGTTGCAGAGATTGGTGGATGAATTTGGTAGGGTGTGCAAAAGAAGAAAATTAAAGGTGAATACAGGAAAGAGTAAGGTTATGAGGATAACAAAAAGATTAGGTGATGAAAGATTGAATATCAGATTGGAGGGAGAGAGTATGGAGGAGGTGAACGTATTCAGATATTTGGGAGTGGACGTGTCAGCGGATGGGTCTATGAAAGATGAGGTGAATCATAGAATTGATGAGGGAAAAAGAGTGAGTGGTGCACTTAGGAGTCTGTGGAGACAAAGAACTTTGTCCTTGGAGGCAAAGAGGGGAATGTATGAGAGTATAGTTTTACCAACGCTCTTATATGGGTGTGAAGCGTGGGTGATGAATGTTGCAGCGAGGAGAAGGCTGGAGGCAGTGGAGATGTCATGTCTGAGGGCAATGTGTGGTGTGAATATAATGCAGAGAATTCGTAGTTTGGAAGTTAGGAGGAGGTGCGGGATTACCAAAACTGTTGTCCAGAGGGCTGAGGAAGGGTTGTTGAGGTGGTTCGGACATGTAGAGAGAATGGAGCGAAACAGAATGACTTCAAGAGTGTATCAGTCTGTAGTGGAAGGAAGGCGGGGTAGGGGTCGGCCTAGGAAGGGTTGGAGGGAGGGGGTAAAGGAGGTTTTGTGTGCGAGGGGCTTGGACTTCCAGCAGGCATGCGTGAGCGTGTTTGATAGGAGTGAATGGAGACAAATGGTTTTTAATACTTGACGTGCTGTTGGAGTGTGAGCAAAGTAACATTTATGAAGGGATTCAGGGAAACCGGCAGGCCGGACTTGAGTCCTGGAGATGGGAAGTACAGTGCCTGCACTCTGAAGGATGGGTGTTAATGTTGCAGTTTAAAAACTGTAGTGTAAAGCACCCTTCTGGCAAGACAGTGATGGAGTGAATGATGGTGAAAGTTTTTCTTTTTCGGGCCACCCTGCCTTGGTGGGAATCGGCCGGTGTGATAATAAAAAAAAAAAAAAAAAAAAAAAAATATACAGAAGGGGTTACTAGTCCCTTGTTCCCTTCATTTTAGTCGCCGCTTATGACACGCATGACTTACGGAGGAAGAATTCTGTTCCACTTCCCCATGGAGATAAGAGGAAATAAACAAGAACTAGTAACAAAATAGAAGAAAACCCAGAGGGGTGTGTCTATATATGCTTGTGCACACATGTGCAGTATAACCTATATGTAAGTAAAAGTAGCAAGACATACCTGAAATCTTGCATGTTTATGAGACAGAAAAGACACCAGCAACCCTACCATCATGTAAAACAATTACAGAACAGCAGTTCCTCCCTGGGCAGTTGCTGTCTACCAACCTATTACCTAGGAAATATTTACTTACAGAATAATAATAATAACTTTATTTCTACAAGTACATGTACAAGGTATACAGGCCTAGTGGACATCAATGCATACTACTATATAGAAAGCCCCTTGTCATGCAGAGCATTTCAATTTTGTCCCAGGAAGTGACCCACACCAGTCGACTAACACCCAGGTACCAATTTTACTGATGGGTGAATGCTGGACAGCAGGTGTCTTATGGAAATACATCCTAATTAATGATTAATGGGAGTATGCATACCTATTGGTTTAAATTCCATAATTTAACTAATTATTGGTCTGAGAAACTAATTTTTTGTGTACTGTGCACCCACAGCTCATTTTATGGAAGGCAGGCACAAACGTAACATTAAAGGAAGGTCACAATAGGTCGGTATCACGCCTTATTAGCTATATAATACTTACTGCAAATCTTTTCTATATTACAGAATGCAGTTTCATGCAACAATCTCATCATAGGTAATTCTCTTGCTAATTCAAAATGTGAATACACTGTTAAAATTTCAGATATCTTATCATTAACACTGAAGTTAATGGGCTATTTCAAAGTTGAGAGTCTCATCTTAAACTGGATATCTTATCTAGCTGATGCAAAGTGTGGCTACTATCTTAAGATTTCAGATATGTTATCACTAACACTGAAGCAAATTGCCATTTTCTATATGTTTTCTATACATCTCTAAATGGTTGGATCTTCAAGCAATCTATGATATAACGCTCTAGTGTGTGGCTCTGTCTCTGTCCAAAAACTTTATATTTCATATGAGTCACCTTTCTGTTCAAACTGAGCTGCCACAGATATTTAAGCCTAATCTTGGTCTAGCAGAGAAATAATCTTGTAGTCTACAAAGTTGACCAAAGGATTGTCTAGTAACTTAAGTTTAAAATAGATTACCACATATTAAAACTTACACGTACATGAGTCATGAAATCATAACACAATTACAAACAAACCGCTGGCCTGGAGTTTCAGGACTCACAAGCCATGGGTTCAAACCCCAGCCAATCTGTGGTTTAAAACTTACATATTGTATTAATACTGGTAGAACTGCCGACAATATACAACAGAGGAGGAACACTGAAACAGGCCTTCTCAACTCCAACCACTAAAAGAAATATTTGTCTAACATATTTTTATGCTACCCAAGTAATAGCTTTTATAACCTTTTACTCATGTGCAAGTTGATTGTTCTACCATATTGTATTACTACAACTAATATTACTACCACTAGTATTACACCTCACTCTAAGCCTATATATACCCTCTGTATCCATGTATTGTTTGTAACGGCTTGATAAAGCTCCTGGAGAGCGAAACATTTCCACAATAAAATGCCACATTAGTTTCACATGTGTCCTTTTACCTAACTTACATATTGTTCATGATGCAATAAGATCACAGTAAACAGGTGATATCACAATATAGAACAACCACTGTGAAAAGAATAATGTACTTCCAAGTGCTTTTGTCAGTTTCTCACATTATCAAGGAACAGTTCCTTGATAATATGAGAAATTCACGAAAGCGCTTGGAAGATCATTATTCTATTCTTTTCACATTGGTTCTTTTGCAATGTTTATGATATGGGGAGAGTTCAAGCTTTGCCATATTTGTTCATAATGTAAATGAAGAGGAAACGAGAAGTAACTTACTATTATTGTAGACTGTGGCTATTAGATCGGACTCTGAGGAGCAGCAACAATCCTCCAGACTTCCCCAGCTGGGTGCTCAAATGTTTGCTTAGTTACTAAACTTGTGTCATCATCAAATTCAATGAGTTGAATCTATTGATAAAGAAAATACAGTAATAGAATACATGTAATTAAAATTATACTCTTTTAGCAACAATGTATGTTACCAGCTCTTTAAAAGAACAGCTAGTTTCATCTTGTTAATCTATCCTTTTCTTAGTAGTTTTATTTTGGTCTATTTCTATCTATCCTATCTGGTACCATGAAAAAAATATTTGATGGGTGAGTTATTTATTTATTAATGCGTGGGCCATCTCCCACCAAGGCAGGGTGGCCCAAAAAAGAAAAACTTTCATCATTCACTCCATCACTGTCTTGCCAGAGGCATGCTTTCACTACAGTGCAGACACTGTACTTCCCATCTCCAGGACTCAAGTCCGGCCTGCTGGTTTCCCTGAATCCCTTCATAAATGTTACCTAGCTCACACTCCAACAGCATGTCAAATCCTAAAAAGCATTTGTCTCCATTCGCTCCTATCTAACACACTCACGCATGCTTGCTGGAAGTCCAAGCCTCTTGCACACAAAACCTCCTTTACCCCCTCCCTCCAACCTTTCCTAGGCCAACCCCTACCCCGTCTTCCCTCCACAACAGATTTATACACTCTCTTGGTCTGCACATCCCCTACCTTTCCTAAAGCCTCCTTGTTCATCTGCTATCCTACTCTCTGTCTTATTCTTAATTCTTTCAATAATAACCCTACCATACACTTTACCAGGTATACTCAACAGACTTATTCCCCTATAATTTTTGCACTCTCTTTTGTCCCCTTTGTCTTTATATAAATGAACTATACATGCTCTCTGCCAATGGGTGAGTTACAACCTCTCATTATATAGAAAAACCTGCCCTTTCATTCATCATTTTACCTCATCACTTCAGCATTGTCACATTCCCAAAAATTATAAATGCTCTCAGTGTCCACATTTGTCCAAAAAAAAAATCTTCTGAAATAATAAAAAATCTTTTTCTGAAGATGTAATGTCACCAAAGGTACAAAATTTAATGGAAAACCTATGGGATAATGCAGGAGCAAAGTTAGCATTCTGTCCTATTTTAAGCAAATTCCCTTGCTTGATTCAATCAAATTCTTGACCATTTCACTAGTATGCCTTAAGATTTATCGACTGAGCACTACCAGAACTATCCTATGCACAGAACTTGGTAATTTTGCCAATTCTATGCAATATTAAAAAAATCCATTTTAAAAACAGAGTCTAAAGCAAATACAGTGGTCCCTCGTTTTTCGTAATTAATCCATTCCTGGAGCTGTTACTATAAACGAAATTTACGATTTACGAATCAATTTTCCCCATAAGAAATAATGTAAATACAATTAATCCGTTCCTGACACCCAGAAGTATTAAAACAAAAAATTTTTTTACATGAAATATACATGTAGTACATAAACAATACAATGGGAAATGATGAATGAAACATTAACAGCATAACACCCCAATGGAAATAAGTCACTCTGTCTGACTTTTTTGGGTTATCCTAGGTTCTCTACACATATGCTGCTATGTATGATAATTCTATGTAACTGTATTGTGTATACCTGAATAAATTTACTTACTTACTTACTTACTAACACTTACCTTTATTGGAGATTCTTCTTAGTGTATGGGAGACTGGAGGAGGAGAGTGGATTGTTTATAGTTTGGAAGGGGAATTCCCTTCCATCAACACCTCAGGTACCAATTGCTTTTCTGGGGGTGCTTGTCTTCCTGTTTCTTAATGCCACTAGGACCACCTTGAGAGTCAATAGACTCCTGTCTCGCAAAATAACTGTGGAGAGAGCTCTGTTTCTGGCGTCTCTTTAACACTTCCCTAAAATGGCCCAAGACTTTGTCACTGTACATGTTGCCAATATGGCTTGCAACAACCTTGTTAGGGTGATGTTTCTCCATAAAGCTTTCCATCTTACCCCACATAGTAAAAATCTCTTTAATTTCTGAAGAAGGCACCTTCTTCCATCTCTCTTCCTCCTCCTCTGCAGCAAGATTCTGAGCTGCGATGTGTTGCTTTTCCTGCTGAAGCTCTTGCAGCTCCTCAGTGGTGAGCTCTTCATTGTGGTCTTCCACCAATTCTTCCAAATCCTCCAAACTCACATCCAACCCCATGGAACTCCCCAGTGCCACAATTGATTTTACAACAGACATAGGCTCATCAGGGTCAGTCCCAAACCCTTCCTCTTGTCGACACAATCTGGCCACAATTTTCTCCAGGCAGAGTTCAAAGTCCTGGTAGTCACTCCCTCCCAAGCCATACCTATAAGGGTTATGCAATGGATGATGCTGAAGTGTTCTCTCCAAAATTCCCTTAGGATCAAGTGAGTGTCTGTGGTCACAGTCAAGCACCTGTGAAACATTGCTTTTGTGTAGAGTTTTTTAAAGTTTGCAATGACCTGCTGGTCCATGGGCTGGAGGAGAGGAGTGGTATTCAGGGGCAAGAACTTTACTGTGATGAACCCAAACTCCTCAAAAATTAGGTCATCCAAGTTTGGAGGATGAGCAGGTGCATTGTCCATTACTAGCAGGCACTTGAGATCCAATTTCTTTTCCAGGAGATACTCCTTCACACTAGGCCCAAACACTTCATTGAACCACTCGACGAAAATTTCCCTCGTGACCCATGCCTTACTATTAGATTTCCAAAACACACACAATTTACTCTTCATAACATTGTTTTTCCTGAACACTCTGGGATTTTCTGAATGGTACACTAGTAATGGCTTCACTTTGAAATCCCCACAAGCATTAGCACAGAACATTAGCGTCAGCCTGTCTTTCATATGCTTGTGTCCTGGCATTGCCTTTTCCTCTTGTGTAATGAAGGTCCTCTTTGGCATTTTCTTCCAAAAGAGGCCTGTTTTGTCACAATTGAACACTTGTTCAGGTTTCAGTCCTTCAGCCTCTATGTACTCCTGGAATTCATGCACATATTTTTCAGCCGCCTTGTGGTCCGAGCTGACAGCCTCACCATGCTTTACCACACTGTGTATGCCAGTACGGTTCTTAAATCTCTCAAACCAGCCTTTGCTGGCGTTAAATTCACTCACATCACCACTATTTGCAGGCAATTTCTTTACCAAATCTTCATGCAACTGCCTAGCCTTTACACAAATAATCGAAGTCATAAAAGTATCTCCTGCTAATTGTTTCTCATTTATCCACACCAATAATAACTTCTCAACCTCTTCCAGTACTGGTGATCTCATTTTTGTCAGCATAGTTACTCCCTTTGCAACAATGGCATCCTTGATTTCCTTTTTCTTGCCCACTATGGAACATAAGGTTGTGTAGGGTTTCTTATACATCCTGGACAGTTCGGCCACACTTGTACCACTTTCATATTGTTCAATGATGGTTTTCTTAAATTCAATCGTATTTCTCACCTTCTTTACCACAGGCTTGGCACTAGGAGCCTTCTTTGGAGCCATGGTAGCTTATTTAGTACTTGCAAGCATTAAAATAAATGGAATATTATGAAATATTTCGCTGGAGCATGTGAGGGGACCTTCGCTCACTGGTAAACAATGCCAGACTGGCTGCCCGGCTCACGCCGTGGGTACTCGTCCCGGACGAACTATGACTCGCGAGTCAGCCTATGAAAAGCGAGTCCATGTTTTTAAGAAAATACCCCTATGATTGGCGAATTTTATGATTGCCGAGAACTACAAAAAGCGAGGGACCACTGTACTGTATACATTTCAGGCACTAAAACAATATTTCCACTATCCATTAATCGTGTCCCCAGGCCTCTCCTATATTGCGCTTGTCTTCCATTTTGAATTCATAATCAAAAAAATCAAAGATTTAGACTTCGTCAGATAAAATAAGACCAGGAATGATTGGGCATAGCTTATGGCGTCCCAATAATTGAATCCAGAGGCGTCGCTAGAGTTAGTGTTACCTGGGGCGGAATCTCTGGTGTCACCTGGAGGAGCATCTTTGGCGTCACCCCCATGAAATTCAAGAGCTGGGGATACGGGGGGTAAACTCCAGTTATGTCACTACTGTATGACCAGTGACAAATGTTTAGCAATGAGAATGTTTAAGGACCATAAACTGAACAGGAGAATACTTCTCGACTTATTAATGATAAAATAAATAATCGTAGTAATATTGAGGAAACATAATCTCAAATACCACTTTGAGTACAGGGAACAGATCCTACATTTATTCATCTTCAACAATGCCAAAAAAAAAAAAAACTTGAAAAATAAAGACAAACATTGCAATATCAGAGAAACACTAGTTCTGATTTGACCTTGAGTACAGGTAACATCTCAGTGAATCTGATCTTACATTTCCTTGCCTTCAATTATGCAAAATCATCTATCACATCATCAAAATCAATGATTTTTCCTATATAGACTTACATATTTGTACTTTGTTAATATATGATAGGCTATAGAGAAACGAAAGATTCTTCTCTTATGTTGGTGCAGCACTGTTTTGGGCATTAGTGTCACCTTCTTTAGAGGCTCTATGGTGTCACCCCCTAAATGGCGTCACTCAGGGCAGCCCCCCCTTACAATGCCTGTGATTGAATCAGAGTAAGAGCCCATAAAACAGACCAGAGGGCATATTAGGGCTTTTCCCTCCTCAGGAAAATTGGCAAAAATCGAATATTTCTGCTAATATGAGCCCAATTTCAAGCTACTTCCATTTCTGGAACCAACCAAAATTATCTGTTATTTCCATTCTATCAAATAATACCTTAAAACAGCCAATAAACTCTAGAAAACACCTCAAAGATGCTTTTTTAAACCAAAATCAAAGTCAAGGTTTCGCTTTTCTTATCAAGCACAGTGTGGGACAGGTTACATCCTTGACTCTTTCTGGTAATTATTCCTTAAACTTAAACTTAGTAGGTACAACACGAAGGCAGGATTGGAATATTTTACAGTTTTAAACTGTAGTATCGGTGCTTTGCTGGCAAGACAGTGATGGAATAAACGATGATGAAAGTGTTTCTTCTTTTTTTTTGGAGGGGTCACCCTATCTTGGTGGAAGACAACCATTTA